GGGGGTGTCCCTCAGCCCGACCTGCACCCTCTTGCAGTCCAGGAGCCCTTGGGGGATGTCCGCTGAGGGGTCCTTAGTGCTGCCGCAGAGGCGGGAGAGGCTCCTGTCACTGCCGCTGCACTCACCAGCCATGAGCCTGGCTTCTGGCTGAGCAGTGCTCCTGCATTGAGTGTCTGCCCCTGGTGGTCAGTGTGCATCATAGTGACCGGTTATTCCATTGTTGGGTCGATTTGCATATTACCCTTTTATTATAGGGCAGCGGTTCTCAACCTGTGGGTTGCGACCCTTTTGGCAGTCAAATGACCTTTTCACAGGGGTCGCCTAAGACCATCCTGCATATCAGATATTTACATTACGATTCATAACAGTAGCAACATTACAGTTATGAAGTAGCAACAAAAATAATTTTGTGGTTGGGTCACAACATGAGGAACTGTATTTAAAGGGCCAGAAGGTTGAGAGCCACTATTATAGAGGATGTCACCCCAACAAATTTAATGAAAAGGAAAAAAAGGAAATCATGTAATTTGTTATGTGAACTCCATCCTTTTAGAAATTACTGACTGAATTCTGTCATCATTTAAAGGGCTCTTTATTCCCTGTTTTTCCAGAAAACTGGTGGTTAGATACAGTGCTGTGAGCTTCTGAGTGCCTCTTGCTTCACCAAAGAGGCACTGATGCCTAATGTTTCTCTGTGTGTGGTAAGATTTGACAACGGGATTGAATACTATCAGCCTTACCCACCCATTACAAAGATTCCCATATTCTTTGATGTAATGATTTCAGCAGCACAATGGAATATATTTCTTAGATCCATTATTTCACCAGGGTTTACGAAATGGCAATATTTTATTTTTATTACTGATTTTGCCGGGAAGACAAAGCTAAGAGAAAGTAAGAAAACTGTGGCAGTCAGGAAGTGTGTGCTGTGTCTCTTGTATTCTCAGTCTTTTTATTCTGTGCCACCAAATAGGTAAGGACTGAGCTGGCAAAGCTTTCCTGTTGCTTTGGAGAAACGGAGGAGGGGACGTTCACACAAGCTAATGAAATCTGTCCCTCCCATAATAAATATTACACTGCTGTGCGTAAAGAAAGGGGCGGTAAATTCTTATTGGGAGTTAGAGGTAGGGATGGCTGGAAAAAAGAGAGTGTGTGTGTGTGTGTGTGTGTGTGCACATGTTGGTACATGATGGTAAAATTTAAAATTGGAGGAAGAGAGGAGGTAGAAAACAGAGTTTTGCTAATTATATAAGGTAGACTGTAAGTGTTTTCCTAGTAGGAAATGAGACGAAGGATTTTCAGCAGGGGAATATAAAAAATTGGTTGTGAGATCACATTTTTAGCAGAGTGAGGAAGGAGGAAGGCAGATCGGTATGGTTCTGGTTACTGCAACAGAAGTGGAAAATGAGGGAGGTATAAACTTGTATTTGAACCACAGACAGTCCTTTTACTATGTGCCTCTAGCAAACTAATTTGTTTCTTCATTAGTGCTCTGCTGCTGCAATTGCAGACTGAGGGCCAGGGAGAAATAGAGACGGGGTGGGTTTAAGAAGAATTTACTCAAGAGCATATAAATTTGGCTCTAGCTGGGTTGGCACAGTGGATAGAGCATCGGCCTGCAGACTGAAGGGGTCCTGAGTTCAATACCAGTCAAGGGCACATGCCCAGGTTGCAGGCTTGATCCCCAGCAGGAGGTGGGCAGGAGGCAGCCTATCAATGATTCTCTCTCATCATTGATGTTTCTGTCTCCTCTCCCTCTCCCTTCCTCTCTGAATTTAATAAAAATATATTTTAAAACACACAAAAAGAGCATATAAATTTGAATCTGAAGATTATTAAACTATTATTCACCAATATATTCTTCAGCATAAGAATGATTATTCATTAAAATTTGTATTAAAATTTTTGTATTAAAATTTTCTGGAATATTTTCATCTACTATATGCTTCTTCCATATTTAAACTTATATGCTTGTCTCTTTTCTCTTTTCAACATTCTTATATGTACAAATCCAAAACCCCTTTTTCATGTTTTAGCTCTGACTTTACTTCTACTATAAAGTTGTCTCTTTTCTCTAAATCTCTGTAGCAATATTTGTGCTGCTATTATAGCCTACCCCACTGCCTGCACTTTATCATAGTCATTGTGCACATACCGTGTGGCATGTGGTAGAAATTAAATCTATAAGCTCATAGGCATTTTTATTATTGCTTATTTACTGCTCTACCTTTAATCCATCTGGTAGAAGGCCTTTCCCACAGTAGGCACTCTAGAAATAGGCATAGTTTACTTCTAATTCATGTGTATAGAAAATGTACATGAGATTCTTTCAACCCTGCAGTTTTGTGATTCGTTTAACTTCTGCATGTTCTGCTTCAAAGTGAATGTTTTTAGTAACATAGAATGAAGCAGGAGAATAAATTTGAAAATAGATGTGACGTTTAAGGGTTTTGTAGACAAGTCTTCCAAATTGCTTCCTTTTTAAATGATCATAACTATTTTTTATTCTATTTTCTTAACTAATCTAAAAAAACCCACTAATATGATATTAGGTTATGTTTACTGCATGAAAACAAAAGGTAAACACTGTGGAAGGATGGTAATTTTAAAGCCAAATCACTGTATACCTAGCAGTAGAGGCTAAACCACATTCATACAAGTTGAAACAAACTATGAAATATTTTGAAAAATACTCATTTGAGTCCTATCTCTGTGAAGGACCAATGAATTAAACTTGGCCTGCACACATTGTAAAATAGCTGCTAGCAAGCTTAGTGAGACAGGGAGAGTCTCTCTCCAGGACTGTTGGGGAGATTCTTACATTGGAAAGAATGTTTATTCAGTTGTCAAATGAATATACATTGTTTATTCATTTGTCAGAATCATTAATATCCACTGTGCATCAAAAACTGTCTACTCATTGTTTTTGCTAATTCAAAGACAAATGAATATGATCTTAATCTATACGAAAAATCTCTTCAACTAATGAAAAATACAAATGTATTTTCTTATATATTATAAAACAAATAATTTATACAGCAAGGCAGAACGTTTTTGACGTGCTCTGAGAACTGAGAGTGGAATGATTAATAATTCTGCCCTGAGAAATTAATGAAAACTTTGGAAAATATGTGTTATTTGAATTGAAATATGCAGTATGGGTAAGATTTCAAATGTGAACGAAGAAGTTTGTGTATGTGTGTGTGTGTGTGTGTGTGTGTGTGTGTGTGTGTGTGTGATGAGTTTACGGTGTGGGTAGAGTCTTGATAAGTCACTAAGTGGTGAACATACAGAGTTTGCTTCTAGGTGTGAATCTGGAAAGACAGATTGGATCTCTAGTAGATTACACATGGTCACAAATTTTTATTGCTCCCGTGAAGACATAGATTAGACTTCCATATTCCTTAAATTTGAGATAACTTGCTTTGACCAACAGAATGCAGGAGAAGTGAGTTGTATGAGTTGGGAGCCAGGTTTCCAAAGGTCTTATAACTTCTGGTCTCACACTCTTGGATCACGACCACTATGAGAGCAATTCTGAGATAGACTACTGGAGAGGAAGGGATATGCAGAGAGCTGAGGCACCCAGATCCAGCCCTGGCCCTGAGCGAGGCCACCATAGGTTAGTTGGCCCCTGACAACTTAGCAGCGGATTGTCTAGATGAGTAAAGGCAGATAAGACCAGTGGAAGAGGAGCAATCCAATGGGGATCAGCCCAAATTGCCCATCCTCAGAATGGCAAACTCAGAAATGGTGGTTGTTTTTAAGTCACTAAGCTTTGAAAGTGATTTTTTGCAAGAAAGGTAAACTAATATGGAGCCACTTTGTTAGTGTTTATGGGTAACCAGCTTCTCTAGCTCCAAAAATGAATGTAGATTTTTAAGTTTGGAGTTAATAATGCTTATCTCCCTCTATTATCCACAGTGCTTCTCAACTTCTACTCCAACTAACCACAGAGAAGGTTGAGCTCTATAATTCCTGAGGTTATTTTTACCCTCTTTCAGTATATTTTTAAATGAACTTTCATGATTTTATGCTTTCATTATGGTGGGGAAGGTAAGGCAAGAATTGTGTGGCTTCTGATAAAAAAACTTGTTTCCACATGTGCAGCCAGGAAGAAATTTCTTATTGTTCAGGTTAACCTTTTAGCTTGCTGTTGACATCTTTGTCTCTTAATTTGTAAGAAGTAACTTCCCAATTGTTTTTGGAGAGGCTTTCAATCTGATTGTCAGCTAAAATAAAAGTTTAGTGCATTCTCAGGTGAAGCTATTTTCTCTGTGGGCTAAGAGTTTATGAATCAATACCAAGGCTCTCGGGACCAGAATCTAGCTCCATTTTGAATTATACTAAAACTAACTTGTCAGCATTGTTTGCACATGTCATTCTCCAACTTGTGATTTTAAAGAAAAATTGAAGACAATGTAAAAATTGAATATTTTAAAAGAAGAGTCCATAGAAACCAAGGAATTCTAATATATTTTCCTTTTTTAATAAATACATAAAGCTTTTTACCATTTCCCTCAGTGATTTTGATTAATATGATAGTAGAATCTTTCAGAGCATCATTATACCAATTTTCACAGCCTGATGTAAGAACTCATTTCACAGAAATAATCATGACTAGCATTAATATATGAATGTCAGTGCCATAACACAATAGTATAAGGCATATTTACACCATCTGAACATACAGAACACCATACACATACACACCAAAAAATCACAGATCTAGAACAAACAAAACCCAATTTCCTAGACAGCTTACATTAACAGGCTTTGCCTGAAACAATTTTCTTTTTTGCTTTACTTTTTTAAAACATATTTTCTTTCCAAATAACAAACAGACCTTCCCTATGTCTTGTGATTTACTTGTAACGTTGTGCTCATGCAAAAATAATACTTGTTTTATTGCAATAACAGTTAAACAGTTTTGGATTTGGGTCACCAAACCATCATCTAACATTTTACTTGATGTTGCTTCATCCATATTGTCCCTTCAGTTGGAGTGATATGATGATTTCTTTTCAGTGAGTTATAAAACAACAAACATATCCAGTTGACCACAGTTCAAAAATCAAGATTCTAAGCTTCTTGATCATGCACATTGTACTTTCATCCTTGAAAAATGGTTCGAATCAGACACACCACTTTGATTCAACATTTACTGGTGTTCTTCTTTTCTTTTTATAAATATTTCTAAAAACAACAACAACAGAAAGGAATGAAAGGAAATACTGTCCCACATTAACAGCTCACGAAACGGAAGAGCAGCAAGAATCACACTGACAATTGTTAAGACACAGTCAGGTAGTGACACTGGAGTAAACATTGAATGTCATTGCAACACTGTAGGAATGTGATCATCACTACAACCCATACTTCTGTAACAGTTCGGATTGCCACTGGCGTTTCCGCTCTGGAAAATAATCTGGAATGTGGATTTTTTTAAAATCCTGAATACACTTTTTCATTTCTTCTTCTACGCTGAGCTTCTCACAGACTTTCTTTTTGGAAAGATTGGTTTCCCGGGACTTGCTGATGAGTGTCTGAAAGAGTTCACTGTTTCTGCGTTTGTCTGGTGGGGGCATCCATTGCACAGGCGCTTTTTTGGAAGGGCGATCCAAGGTTAAGGTGTTAGGCTGGTGAGCTGTGGCCTGCTGGGCGTTGGCTGGGTTGTCCTGGGGGGTGCTCGCCTCTGAGTGGCTGTCACAACTGGAGGTGGAGAGCTCATTACAGGAAGTCCCACTTTCACTTCCTTTATCTGTGACTTTGTCATGTTTTCTGTCTTCATGTTCTTGTTTGGGTGACACCATTTTCTGAGATGGCCCTAAAAAGGATAAAAAAGAGTAGAACAATTGAATGAGAAGTGAAAAAGTCAAATTAAATAAACTTTATTTCTTTTTTGTTTTAAACCAAGAATATTTATATTAAGAAAAATGCTGTTTGTTGAGGGATTAAATACAATACTCAGTGCTGTTAGTCTACCTTAAAATACACAGCATGCTGATTAATTATTTATAACATAAAGTTTGGGAGGTTTGCCTAAGGAACACTTCTGCCATAATGGGTCATCCATAACTTTATGTTTAAAAGATTTTTGCTAGGTATTATTTCTTGAAATCTGAAAAAGATATCACATGTAAATATTCCATAACCATGTCATTAGACAGTTCATTTCTGTTCTAGTTACCAACATTGGCTGTTCATTCTGCCTTTATAAGAACAGAGAGTACCATTGCTCACTTTTATAAAGTAGCAGTATTCTCCAGGCCCAGAGGCACAATAGCATCATTTATGCTTCCCAGGGGGTGGCTGGTTTAAATCTTATCCTCCGTCTTTTAATCTTGTTTCCTGTCTATTTCCTTGGGGGAGAATTATGCAAGTGCTGTAGACATATATGTACCTACTATTATGGTGAAAAAAGTATAGTTGAAATACAGTGTTCTCTTAAAATACAAGGCTTACCATTTGAGGTAAATTACCTAGGAGGACAATTTTCAGAAAGTGATAGTTTGCTAAGATAATTATTTCAAATACACAAACAGTTTATTTCCAAGAGAGAGTGTATTTTATTCCTCCTCACCTCTGCTGTGAGATTAGGACATCTATTTAACATTTATTGAACACCACCACATACCCAGAACTATAATAAAACCTGATTAACTGGAGCCTAACCATTCAGAAATATTAAATTACCCAAATTTGGCTTTTTTAGTCAACTTTTATGAACAAGTTACATAAGTCAGAATGGGGGATTCATCAGTATTTTTGAACAGTTGCCCTGGGGGATTCTACTGTGCAGGCAGAGTTGATAAAAATTGGTCTAATTCATAGGGACTCACCTGAGCCACATATGGAATTACTTGGAAAGATTAGATTATTGATGCCTTGGTATCAATCCAAGATGTCCTGCTTTAATGAGATGCCATACTACCATTGGGCCGTTTAACAGATTCAGGTAACTTCAATGTGCAGCCAAAATTATGAACCTTTCCTAAGCCTATTACATGTACAGTGAATTCATAACCAGTATGAGTAGTTATATTACTGAGAAGGGTGGGAAAACAAACCAACAAAAATATTTTTTACTAAAGCACCTATTATTTGCAACTTACTGTTTGGGTGCTAACATCAATTTCCTATTTAAAATCAGAAGAAACAAAAGTTGATGCCAAACATTCAGTTGAGTTGGATTAAAGATTTAAAAAGCTTTAGAACTTTTTGGAATGATGGGAATATCCTGTATCTCGATTGCACTGTTAATCACAGGATTGTACACATTTGTGACAACTGACAAAATTACATAGTTAAAATGGGTGAGCTTTTCTGTATCAAAACTATATCTCAATTAACAAACAAAACAAACAAACAAACAAACAAAAAAGCCCTAAACACCTTATTAAAGAATATGTACCTATTTGAGGGAAGGCCTAGCCATTATTTCATACCTGCTTTTTCTACACTAGAGTATACCTAAAACAAATGGTGATGTTTATAAATGCTTAGTACAAAAGTGCACTAGTACATTTCAGAAGCATTTGCAATAATGGATTAAAGAAAACAAAAGCAGCAGCTGTTTTTCAGTCACTGACATCTATAATAATAAAGCATAATATGCTAATTAGAGTAGACATCCTTCCGGTCATCCTTCTGGAACAAAGCTAGGGCTGCAGCCGCAGGATCCAGGCAGCCACCAGTGGCTGTGAGGGAGGGATTTAGGCAGCTGGGGCTGCGAAGGCCTACTCTTGCATGAATTTTGCGCATTGGGCCTCTAGTGACATTATAAAAGCAGAGAGTACTATTACTTAATTCTACAAAGTAACAGTATTCCCCAGGTCCAGAGGTGTAATAGCATCATTTATGCTTCCAAGGGGGTGGCTGGTTTAAATCTTATCCTCAGTCTGTTAATCTTGTTTCCTGTCTATTTCCTTGGGGAGAATTATGCAAGGGCAATAATTCCAGGGTAAGAGAGAATGGAGGTGAACCTGAGGGGAGGGAAAGAATGAGTTGCACTTCTCGCATCCCTGGTTGACTTACTTACCCTGAGGCATTCTGAACCTTACTTTATCCTCTGTGCTGGTTGGGCACAAGCTATGCCCTTAGGGCCCCTTGCCTTCTGGCTTTCAGTTGGATTCGATGGCAAAGACTCCAACACTATGTCTCACCCTAGAAATTCTGTCATCTGGTTGCCTCCCTGGACCAAGAGGCACATCCCTGGTCAGCAGTTCTCTCTACCTACTTCTCACTTCTCTCCTCTTCCCTTCTCTCTCCCTCCCTCTGTCACGCTTCTTTCCAGATCCCATTAAAATGAGGCTCACATCTTCAGGCCTACTGGTGTTAACCATGTCATTGTAACCAGCCTGAGGGTATTGCCCACATTAATGCATAATGTCAATAATCAACTTTTCTCAAATCACCCAATTCAATGTGCTTTCTCTTTCTTCCAGAGCCCGGTCTGACAGACCCACACTGGTCCCCAACCATCTTCTCCAATAACTAGGTATATGTTACTTGTAGGATCAGTTTTTAGTGGTACTAAGTCTTTGTGGCAATAATATTGAAAGGGTTTTGACCTGGAATCAAATTCTAGCTCCGTAGCAAACAACCTCATGGCCTTGGAGCCATACTTAGCACCTCTAAGCTTCAATTCCCTTATCTGTAAAATGGGTATTAGTACTTTCCTCATGCGGTTATTTTGAGATTAAATGAAATGCCATACAAAGGGTCTAGCAAAATAATGCACAACAATCAGAGTATATCATTGTCATTTAAAAAATTCTGACAGGTGTTCAGTCCCATCTCTAGAGATTTTACATTTGCCAAAGGGTTTGTATGTACATGTTTACATAGAGGTCGGTGTGGTTGGAGGAGCTGCAGCATCTGTTCATCTCATTATCATTATGGCTGAATGTGATCCACGCTAGTGTGATGCCCACAAGCCTAGTGAGACATAGGATATAAATAAATGCTTTCCATCCTTTCTGTCAATCTTCTGCATTACTTTAACCAGAAATCCCTAAAGTGGAATCTACAGTTTTCATTCCCACTAATGACTAAGGAATTAAACTGCAAATACCTGAGAAAACCAATTTATATTTAAGGAGAAATGAGAAATAATTTCATGTTAATAGGCACGGGGATAGAGCATCAGACAGAAACACCAGGCAAAAGAAGAGTAACATCCGAGTGGAAGACAGTACAGAAGGAGGACACAGGCGATCCTTGAACAATGTAGGGGTTTGGGGCACCCCACACACAGTTGAAAATCCTTGCACAACTCTTGACTCACTCAAAGCTAACTGCTCATAGCCTACTGTCTACCAGAAGTTTTACTGGTAACATAAACAGTTAACACATATTTTGTATGTTATATGTATTATATACTATATTCTTATAATATGCAGTAAGCCAGAAGAAAGAAAATGTTATTAAGAAAATTATAAGGAAGGGAAAATGCATTTTCAGTATTTTTCTATTTATTGAAAAAAAAATCTGTGTATCGCTGGACCTGTGCAGCTCAGACCTGTCAAGGGTATGCTGTCCTAGATAATACAAAATCAAATGTTTCCTTCTGTTTGTATTCACTGGGAGGGAATGCTTAATGACATACCCTAGGGAGAATACAGAGTTTCATAAATTACATGCTTTAGCTAAATAAATTATATACAGTTATTATGCCTAATGGCATTACAATTTATTCATGAAAATAAGTCTCTGCACCCACCACATGCATGTGCACATACATGGGCATGCGTGCGCGCACACACACACACACACACACACATTTTTATTATGCTCATATTTCTCTTCAATGAGGGAAGAGCCTTGGAAGAAATGGGTTTGAACTTGGTGCACTTACCAAGTCCTATTGTGCTGGTCACGTAATCTCTTTACTATTTGGTCCTTGCTTGTGAAAATTTTGGGATTGACCCCCAAGTTCATTAATGTAATAAAGTTGTAGTGTTCTAAAGTATCCTATCTAATAAAGAGGGAATATGCTAATTTACCCTCACGCCATCGCAAAGATGGCAGTGCCCACAACCAATAAGGAGGGAATTTGCTAATTGACTGACGCACCCTCAAAGATGGTGGCACCCACAGCCACAAGATGGTGGTGCCCAGTCCCCTCAGCCCCCCAGGGCCAGCCCGAGGCACAGGCAAGCCTAGGATGGCAGCTGCCCAGCCACCTAGGGCCACCCGAGGCTCAGGTAACCAGGGCCAGCCGAGGCTTGCACTACCAGCAGTGGCAGCAGCAGAGGTGTGATGGGGGCATCGCCTTCCCCTGATCGCTGGGTTGCCTCCTGCTCCTGAGGGTTCCCAGACTGTGAGAGGGGGCAGGCCGGGCTAAGGGACTCCCCCTCCAGTGCATGAATTTTCATGCACCGGGCCTCTAGTATAATACATAAGAAGGGATTTTCCAGGCAGTAAAATTCTAACCAGATATTAAATATAAAACATTAAAGAGTTACCATCAATAAAAATTACCTTTTAGAATGGGGAAACAAATTCAATTTCCACTAAAGTACTTCACAGAATTACAGGCTCCAGGATAACTTTTTAAAGTTAATCAGTGGGAAGAGTAGTCCTAGAAGACATTATTGACTCACATTTGTTTCATTAAGTTTATTCTTGTCAGCAATGACAGCAAAAGAATGATGCCTAAAGCAGGACAGTGTGGACTGGCTGGGCTCACATCCTTACCTTCTTTGCATCTCTATTTTCTTCTTTTTTTTAAAAAAGAGAGGAAGAGAGAAGGAGAGAAGGAAACATCAGTGATGAGAGAGAATAATTGATTGGCTGCCTTCTGCCCTTGCAGCCCCACACTGG